GGGTTCACCTCCATGGTCTTCTTGGAAACCATGTAGGAAGTCATGGAGTTGTCACGCAGGGCCTGGGCCTTCATGATGCGCTCCATGTTGGCAGACCAGCCGTACTCGGAGGTGGTCAGCACGCAAGGGGAGTCGGCCATCCTAGAGCTAACGATGACCTTCTCCACCTTGTCTCCGAGGACTTCCTTCATCAACTTGGTGAGAGGCTCAAACTCGGCCTTCATCTCCTCCAGCTTCTTCCTTGGACATCAGGGAACTACTGACAAGAAGCGGGTTGCTTGCCCGACCCACAAAAACAGAAGCTCAGTCGATACTTCTACTGAATCGAAGTAAGCTGCCGCGTGACTTCAACAACCAAGCAGAAAACAATGTACATGCTTCCAAGGTTCTTCTCGTCCTCGTCCTCGATGTCTAGACCCTCCTTCGTGGTGGATTTCAGCTTCTTGCCATCGAACTCCTTCAGCTGCTGCACGGAGTACTCGTCGACGGGGTCGATCATGTAAAGCACCTACTGTTTTGGACGAGTGCAAGGCTAAAGCCATACCCAAGCTGCTACAGTGTGGGCTCAGGGGTTTAGGGAAGAAGGGCACCTCGATGCCCTTCTTTCGCAGGGTCTCCAGGAAAGGAGAGGAAGATACCGCCGCGATGCTCTCACCTGATCAGGTTGGAGCTCTGTGGTCTCCAAGACATCTAACCATGCCCCCTGCACTTATGACGGCTCGGGGCACCTGTGATGTAATAGATGTCGTTCTGTCCCTCCTTCATGCGGTCGACATACTCCTTCCTGAGACGGGGTCGTATTTTCCGCTCATGTGCCGACAGCTGCCCAGGTTCTATCTTTCTTCACACCCCTTCGATGTCCCCAAAACCGCAAGCTTCAGGTGACAGTGACCTACGCTGCTCCATAAGCACGTTCACGCTTCACAGAACTTCAATCTCGAAAAAACACACTCTGAAGCACTCGCTCCAGATTCGAGTCCCAGGGTCAGGCTGATCTGCTCGTCTCCAGACTTGGAGGTGTGGTAGCGGAGGAGCTCGGCCAACTGGCAAACACGAGATGAGAATGAGGTTGGGTTTGTTTGCATGCGACGTCAACATCGAAAAGTGAAAAGTGTCCGCAAGCGGGAAATCTGCGGAAAGCAGATCAAGCTAGTCGATGCAAGTGCATGGCCCGCCTTAGTGCGGTTCGTGGAGTCCTCATGGACGCCCAGCTTCAGGCACTTGCCGAACTGCTCGTAAAACTTCTTGTAGTCGTCCTTCTTCTC